TAGCAGCAGTAGCGAAAGAATCGATCGCTCAGGTTCAGTAATGCATAGCCTGCAGTGCAATCGCTCGGGTTCAGTTAGAGCCCAACGCCTCGCTTGGGTTCAGTTAGAGCCAACGCCTCGCACACACGCACGTACGTGTATGAGAGAAACGTGCATCGCTCGGCCCCCGACCACCCACCGTAACCGGGAACTCCCTGAAATTTTCCTCGCCCTCGCTTCTACTACGGTTTTTTCCATCATTGACGGCCCAAAGAATGTCATGCAGCTGCGTCTCCGGCCCGCCCAGGACGAAAAGCCCATTTTCTGTCATGATTTTTTGTCATAGAAGTAGGAGCCCACCACATCTATGATGATACCGGGTTTTGTCATAATTATCGTCATAGAAGTGTCATATGTATGACAGAAAAAAATTTCATTCGGCCCAAAATGTCACGGATGTGTCTTTTTTTTTGTAGGGTTTGATCCTTCAAGGGTTAAAACCCCGTCTGATGTGCGACCTTAAGCACAATGCTGGAGCTTGGGTGACTGAACTACCGTCCGTCCTATGGGGGCTGAGAACAACGCCAAACCAGTCGACTGACCGAACTCGTTTCTTCCTGGTGTACGGCGCTGAGGCTGTGCTACCGAGTAACTTGCTGCACAATGCCCCCCGAGTGGAACTCTTCTCAGAAGCTGAAGCAGAGCAGGCACGCGAAGACGCAGTTGATCTCCTGGAGGAAGAAAGCGAGATGACTTTGGTTCGGTCGACAATCTATCAGCAAGATCTGCGTCGATTTCATGCCCGCAATGTCAGAGGTCGAGCATTTCATGAAGGAGACCTTGTGCTCCGAGTGGACCAGAAACGGCCTCACAAACTCGCTCCGGCCTGGGAAGGTCCATTCATCATCACCAAGGTGCTTCACAATGGAGCGTACCACATCTACAACGTAGCCAAGAACATGCACGAGCCACACGCATGGAACGCAGAGCTGCTTCGTCCTTTCTATACCTAAAATCACTCGACCCGACGAGTTGCAATAAAAGTACTTCAGTTTGCTTTCCAAAGACAAGATTTTTACAGTATCTTAATGATTGGTTCCCCGTAATCACTTGTGTCCAAATTCCCCAATGGGTGGCTTAGCCGCGACTCCGTACTCGCCTAAGTTAAAAAAGACATTACGAGTGGAGAGCAATCCTCCCACTCGGGGGCTTAGCTGCGACCCCGTACTCGCCTAAGTTAAAAAATATTCCGAGTGAAGAGCAATCCTCCAACTCGGAGGCTTAGCCGCAACCTCGAAATCGCCTAAGTTAAAAACAATTCTAGAAGAACTACATAAAGCACTGAGGTCATGAAGCTATTTCCTCACCAAAGACCAGGTCTCATGCTCTTCTTGCGACACCATGAAGATGGCACAATGGCTGCACAGCAGACCCACAAATGCCAATGGGGATTCTCCAGCTATCTTGAGCTGCAACGCAATGCAAAGGCTACGCTCACAACGGAGACATTAAAGCAATTTTATAGCATTGTTCTAGTTACATTTACAATTTGTATGGTTCAATCATATTGTTTTCTATCCAGACCCTGATATATATTAAAATATGCATAATATAAGGTAGTTTCTCCAAACTTCTACAAAAACAATTCTAGAAGGACTACATAAAGCACTGAGGTCATGAAGCTATTTCCTCATCAAAGACCAGGTCTCATGCTCTTCTTGTGACACCATGAAGATGGCACAATGGCTGCACAGCAGACCCACGAATGCCAATGGGGGTTCTCCGGCTATCTTGAGCTGCAACACAATGCAAAGGCTACGCTCACAACGGAGACATTAAAGCAATTTTATGACATCTGCAAAGTACCAAGACGAGCAATCCAGTGAAATATAATTGCACTGCCTCATGGTTGTCAAACTCCAACCCATAGACTTACGAGATCTGCGAAATTACGAGATCTGTGGAGCACTTACTTACCAGCTCCACAAATTTAGCCTGCAACTCCGTCGGCTCCACGGAGCTGAGTCCAGAGCGGAGGTAGTCCGAACACCCCCTTAACTCGAACAAAGAACATGCTAGTACATAATCTGCAAACTCCAACCGATCAGATAGTCATCCTTGCTGACATGGCGAGGCCGACCGGAGGAGGGAGAACCATGATCAGATCCATTGGGGTGGACGACCAAAACATATGGCGGGGGTTTCTCACTGGGAGAGAAAGAAAAACTGGAGTAGTTCGGTTAGCACGCCGCCAAATTAATTTGGTGTAGCTGGAGGGGAAAATCCCCAAATCAACATTGAGCGGTCTCCGTCTGCCTTGAACGAATTGAAGTCGAGGCACGGGGTCCCGTCACCTGGCAGCGATCGACAACTTGCGCCACGAGCCGAAGCCACGAGGAAGAAGGGTCAAGAGCAGCAGTGCAGCACGACTGCACGAGCACATCTCCCCCTGCTTCCTGCGGCCCCGCAAGAAGTCTCCTGGAACCCATCTTATCCCCTGCCCTTTATTAGCGCCCGCACCGGAGGAGGGCTGCACCACCACACCACACTCCACGCTCCCGAGCTCTCTCTCCAGCCAGCCACACCAGCGCAGGAGCTAGACGGTGACTCTCCCCTCTCAGGGTCAGTGCAACGGCAACCATGGCGTTCACGCACCGGCACCTCGACCTCATCCGCGCCCACCTCCTCGACGACCTCCACGCCGACGCCCTCGCCAGCAGCAGCGGCGACTCCGATTCGAGCCCTTCGTCGCCGCCTGGGTGGCGGAGGCCGGCGCTCTCCGTGTCGCTGCCGCCGAAGCCGGCGAGGACGGTCCTTGAGCGGCAGCCTCAGCAGGAGAGCTGCGGCTACGTGGAGGGACAGGAGGAGTACGACGACGACTTCCGGCGGTACCGGGGCGTGCGGCTGCGGCCGTGGGGCAAGTTCGCGGCGGAGATCCGGGACCCGGCGCGGAAGGGGGCGCGCGTGTGGCTCGGCACCTACGACGACGCCGTGGAGGCCGCGCGAGCCTACGACTGCGCCGCCTTCCGCCTCCGCGGGCCCAAGGCTATCCTCAACTTCCCCAACGAGGTCGGCACCCAATCCATCCAATGGACCTCGCCAGCTCCCCTCGCCGACACCATCGCCGCCGTGCCCACCGGCGGCAAAAGGATGAGGCCGGCACAGGAGGAGGAGCGCCTGAGGGTGGTGAAGAAGGAGAGGCTGCAGCTGAAAGAGGATGATGACGAGGATGCTATTGCCGCGAACTACAGCGCTGCAGGCGGGGGCGCGCCAGCGAGCTGGGACGGCGTGGCGGCGGCTAGAGACGCCGACATCTGGGAGGGGCTGAAGGTGATCTGCAGCCTGCCGCCCCTCTCGCCGCTGTCGCCGTACCCGCACTTCGCCTTCCCGCAGCTCTCGGTCGTCAACTGAGAGCAGAGCCGGCCGGGGCGCAGGTCGCTGGCCCGCTAGACCGGTCGACTGTCGTGTCGCATGCATGACAGCGGAGCGCCCTCTGGCTAACCCTGAATTTGGTTAGATCACAGGCCGTTCTTTGATTAATCTGTCATCACTACGATAAATTCTTTCGTTCTTTCGTGACCCGTCGAACGACTCGACGTCGTATCCTGTACAGGCGATCCATGCAAACTAAACTATGAAGCTGTTTTAAAAGACATCTGAAGGACATGGACATATATCATATCCAAAAGGGGTTGTATAAAGGGATGAAAACTTGTCACATAACAAACCGAGAGCCGACAGTGGAGGAGGTTGTGAATAGCGCTTGGAATAAGGCCAAGTGTTCTGGCAGAACAATGATGCAAGCGCTCGAGCAAGTTCATGGGGATCAGCACAGGTGGGATAGGAAGGTCCTTAAAAACCCAGGAAAAGAATAGAAAAATTAAAAGGAGAATTAGAAGAGTTAAGAAGGGGCCCTATGACAGATGAAGCTTTGGAGAGACAAAGACAAATCTTGGTGATGTTAGAGGATCTGTTTGAGCAAAAAGAAATATTCTGGTTGCAAAGGGGGCGGGCGAATTGGCTGAGACATGGTGACAGGAACACCAATTTTTTTCATCATTTTGCTACAACAAGGAAGAAAAGAAACCTAATTAAAATGTTGCTTGATGATAATGGTAACATAGTTGAAGGCGATTCTTTAGCCATTCTGATTAATGATTATTTTTCGGGCTTGTTTACGTCTGAGGTTAATGCAGCAAATGAGGAGGTTCTAGATAAAGTGAAACCTCGAGTGACGCCGGCCATGAACGATCACCTTCTCGCACCATTTACATTTGAGGAGGTGAGAAAAGCTCTTTTTGATATAGGTGATTTAAAGGCACCGGGTCCCGATGGACTGCATGCAGCTTTTTATAAGCGTTTCTGGGTAATGTTGGAAGAGGATTTGGTGAAGGAGGTATTGGAGGCGGTTAATACTGCAGTTATACCAGAAGGATGGAACGACACGGTAATAGTGTTAATTCCACAGGTGGACAAACCAGAGAAATTATCTCGGTTTCGGCCAATATCTTTGTGCAATGTGGTCTACAAAGTTATAAGTAAAATGTTGGCTAAAAGGCTGAAATGTATATTACCCGAGGTGATTGGAGAGGCTCAGAGTGCTTTTGTCCCGGGTAGACTCATAACTGATAATGTTTTGGTTGCTTATGAGAGTGTTCATAGAATTAAAAGGAAGAAGGGTAACCATGGTCTTTGAGCGGTAAAATTGGATATGCACAAAGCATATGACCGTGTGGAATGGTGCTTTCTTGAAGGAATTATGTTGAGAATGGGATTTGATGTGAGATGGGTAGAACTAATGATGGCATGTGTTAAATCTGTTACATATTCAGTGAGATTTAATTCGCAGATAACAGAAAGATTTATCCCATCACGGGGGCTCCGACAGGGTGACCCACTTAGCCCATATTTATTTTTGTTGGTGGCAGAGGGTTTATCAGCCTTATTGTCGGATGCTGAAGAAAGAGGAGCAATCGAAGGGGTGAAGGTATGTCGTGATGCTCCCTCGGTATCACACCTTCTATTTGCCGACGATTCTTTGATTTTGATGAAAGCAGATGTGGCTAATGCAAATACATTAAAGGGTATTCTGCAATCATATTGCAATGCGTCCGGTCAAATGGTAAGTGAAGTTAAATGCAACATATATTTCAGTCCAAATACTTCTGTTGATAAAAGGGTTGAGGTGTGCACAACTCTTAATATTTTAGTGGAGGCATTGTCAGAAAAATATTTGGGTCTACCCTTGTTAGTTGGGGCAGACAGGAGTGACAAATTTCAATATTTGGTGGATAGAGTTTGTCAACTAGTTCAAGGTTGGAAAGAGAAAACATTATCCATTGGAGGTAAAGAGGTTCTGCTTAAAGTTGTAGCCCAAGCTCTTCCGGCATATGCAATGTCTGTATTCAGGATTCCAAAAAATATATGTAAAGGAATCACGGATGCAATAGCGCAATGTTGGTGGGGCAATGACATCAGTAATAAGAAGATGCACTGGTTTGCCTGGTGGAAGCTTTGTGTTCCAAAAGAGATAGAAGGAATGGGGTTCAGAGATCCTCACTGTTTTAATTTAGCTATGTTAGCTAAACAAATATGGAGATTAACTGAGGCTCCGAACAGCTTATGCGCAAGAGTTTTGAGAAGTAAGTACTATCCTGATGGCAAGATACTCAATGCTAAACTTAAATCAGGTTCATCTTTTACTTGGCAGAGTATATTGTCAGGGCTCAATACATTTAATAAGGGAGCGATCTGGCGTGTTGGAGATGGTCAGCAAATTGATATTTGGGAGGATGCATAGCTACCGTATAGTAATAACGGAAGGATTTTGACGCCCAAAGGTCACTGTTTGCTAAAACATGTCCATGAACTGATTGATCCTAGTTCAGGAGTATGGGATGCTGACTTAATTCGATCCATTTTTTGGGATATTGACGCAAGACAAATCCTAGCAATTCCGTTGAGTCAGAATGGAATGGGTGATTTTGTGGCATGGAAATTCAGTAAGAATAGTTTATTTTCAGTTCGTTCTGCATACCACATGGAGTGGGAATCTACTTTTGGTATCTCCTTGCAAAGATCTGATGGAACGGGATCTTCAGGTTTGAACACAATTTGGGGAGATCTTTGGAAGTGCGCTGTTCCAACAAAAGTGAAATTTTTTACTTGGAAATGTTTGCATGGGATTCTTCCATGTTATGATGTTCTGGTTAACCGCCACATAATGAATAACACTACGTGTCCGGTCTGTAAGAGATATTGTGAAGACATAAAACATGTTATTTTTCAGTGTGAGGAAGCAAAAGGTATTTGGCAGAGAATTGGCTTGATAGAGGTGGTTACTGAAGCATGTCAGATAGATCGGTAAGGTAGTGCAGTGCTTGATTATCTGATGGCTGGAAAGTTCAGGGTCCCAGTTGATGCATCAGTAAAGTTTTTGAGAGAAACAATCATAACGACCGCTTGGTATATTTGGTGGAGACGAAGACAGACAGTCCATGCAGAAACTGTGCAATCTTTATCACAAGCGGCGATGTCAATTCAAGTCTTGGTATCTAGTTTCTCGAAAGCACAAGGGAAAGAGATTCAGCCAAGATCAAGTACTTGGCATCGGGCGTCTGAGGGCTTTGTCTCTGTAAATGTTGATGCGAAGTACGATATTAATATGAGGTCAGGAGCTACAGGTGTGGTAATTAGAGATGATAAAGAAAGTTTGTAGGCGCGGGATCCAAGCTCAATCCTTTTGCGCTTGACGCGGCAACAGCTGAAGCTCAAGCAGTTCTAGATGGTATTCATCTTGCAAATCAAATAGGCTGTCAGAAATTAGTTATTCAGTCTGATTGTGCAGGAGTTATTGATACTCTTCTGGAAGGCGGTTTCTCTGCGACAGTTGCTGCTCCAATATTCGAAGACATTCGTATTCAGGCGAGCTCTTTTGACAGAATCTTATTTATGCACTGTCCAAGAAAAGCAAATCGGGTAGCGCATACACTTGCACATGAATGTAGGCTAAATAGTTGTGTGTGGGCTGATGATCCACCTAGTTTTATTTTGCCGCTGTTGATTGACGATGTAAGCGTGATTTAATTTTAATAAAATTAGCCATGATGGCATTCCCTCAAAAAAAAATGTGAAAAGCAAAACTAGGCCAAAAATGATAATGGTGGTCTTCTTCCTTCAATCCGTTGTCATCCGTGGAAGCATGAAACTTGCACTCAACAACACAAGTCCTTGTTTCCGGACTACTTGCAAACGCTCTCGACATCTACAGTTTTGAAGACCGTGAACAAGAAATCCTAGTAACCGCATGAGAAACGTGGACTCCGGAAACACTATATAAGCATCACATGCTTGCAACAGTGGCGGAGCTAGCCGACAATCCATGTGTGTGTGGGGGGGTGTGCAAATGCTAATTTTTTCCAATTTAAGCCCTATTTTAAAAAAAATCTTCAGGAAATTATCCAAGGCTGGG